CGTGGTTGCTGGTAGTCACCGGAAAAACAAATCAACATCTATAATTAAGTTAATCAAAGACAAAAGTGAAACAAAAGCTATAAACATTACCTGGTGGGTCCCAGAATCTGATGTGGAGGTCAACGGTCCTCCGTGGTGGCTGGTAACCGGTGGTCCTCCGGTGACAACAAAATCAACAAAAATCAAACAAAAAGTTGTGAGAAACCACAAATTGATACACAATAAACTGTAAAATGAAAATGGGGAAGCAAACCGGGCTCGAAGACGGCTACTGCGATGGCAAAAAAACTAGAAATTGAAACACAAACCACTCAAAATCGCACCCAAAATCGAGTGAAATTAGCAAAAGAATAAAGGAGAAAGAAATACCAGCGATCGGCAGTGAAAGGTCGCTCAAACGGAGGTGAAACATCGAAAGACAGGTCGCCGGTCGAGATTGTTTTTCTTTATATCCTCTGCGTTGTGAATGAAGGTTACAGTATCCTGAAGAAGATGAAACCATGTCCCGACGACAAGTCGTCGAGATAGCCTTGTCATAGTGTCACACAGATCGAGCCACCTCTATACCGACGACAAGTCGTTGGAAAATTTGTTACACGGATCGACCCACTTCTATACCGAGACATGTCGTCAGCATAGAGGACCATAAAATGACATTGTTTTCTCTTTTTCCTGCAAGGTAATAAAGCAAAGAGAAATGATTTTTTTTCAACACCTATACCGACGACAAGTTGTCGGTATACATTTTCAGAAACCCGAGAATTATTTTTCATTTTGCACCTTACCTAAGCAGACGACAAGTCGTCTGGAAAGATTTTGAAGTCAACATAATTGGTCAACTCAATGTCGAAGATAAGTCGTTTGGATAGCCTTATTTTTACCGACGACACTTATCGTCGGTATAGGTCTCGTCGGCACAGACTAAATTCTTGTACTGACGGGAGCATTGTTCATATTAGTTTGTTTAACTAAACAAACAAAAAATTATGTTTATGTTTGTTTGTTTATATAATAAACGAACATAAACAAATGTTTTGTCAAACGATTCACTATCGGTTCATCAAACATTAGGTTAATCTGCAACCCTAATCTACAGGCTCATATTAAGGTGGTCTTACGAGACGTTTGTTTTGATACTGTTACATAATTATTTTTTAAAGTTTGGATAAAATAAAATAAAATAAAATATATACTAAATTAAATAGCAGGTTTTCGTTAGTTTTAGCTGTTTGATTTTAATTTATTTGAAATGTTTAAAACTTATATAAAAGTGTTTGTATAATAGTATTTGGAAACCTTTTAATTATTGTATTATATATATATATATATATATATATATATATATATATATATATATATATAGGCTAGTAGGTTATTCTATTCTAACTAATTATTGTACGGACATATGGACAATGCTATTATTTGAGAATGATAAAGAAAAATATGTTGTTGTTTGATAATAAATACGTTCAATCTTACATAACTATTGTCATTAACACACATTCTCACTAATTAAATCGTCTAAGGGGTTATTATACACTTCTTTATATTCTCATTTCTGTAGAATGTTTTATGGGTCGTCTTCTGTCAGAATGAAAATGAGTGAAAAAACGATGTGTGAGAACAAAATAATAATATAATTAACGATAATGCATGAAAATGACGATATTTTTGTAAGGTTGAACGTATTCGCATTGTTAAACAACTTATTCTCTTAGTAATTCTCATAGAATAATATTGTCCATACATCCGTACAATAATTAGTTAGAATACTTGAACCTAACTCTCTCTCTCTCTCTCTCTCTCTCTCTCGCTATATATATATATATATATATGATTATATATCTATCTATATATATATATATATATATAATATATATATATATATTATATATATATAGAGGAGAGAGAGAGAGAGATAGAGATGAGGATGAGACGAGAGAGAGAGGAGGAGAGAGAGAAGAGAGAGCAGAGAGAGAGAGAGGCGAAGAAGGAGCGACGAATAAGCGAGGGTTCAATGAGAAAAAACAGGTGAGAGGAGGGGAAACCATTCTCAGCAATCATTTAATGCTGCTTAAAAAGCGCGGTGGCAAACTTGTAAAATAATCCAATACATTAATGAGCGGTGGCAAATTTGTAAATAATCCAAAATCATTAAACCGTCAGGGCACTTCAGTAATTTCATCACACATCAAATCTAGACAGAAAACCATCATTTCCCTCTTCGATACTCCATAACACGAAAACCATTTGCAGAAGGATTCAATAACATAAAGGATTCTCAACATCGAGAAGAAGAAAACGAAGAAAAATGTTTTCTGACGAAAGCATAAACGAAACCATTTCCTCACTCTTGACTATGAAAGGTAACCATTGGCGTTTTTTTCTTCGATTTTTAACGATTTCTAATCATTTCTAAAATTATCACTTGATTACTTGAAATTTTTCGTAATCGCCGTTCATTATTAGTTGATTTAGAACTAAAAATTTTGATTCACACTGTCATCTTCAAACTAGGTGGTTTACTTCAAATGTTGTGATAATCGTTCATTCTCGTAACCCTCCTTCGTTATTACTTGATTTACTTGAAATTTTTGTAAGAATCATCCATTATTAGTTGATATATAAATGATTTTACATCTTCTCTTCATTTTTTATACTTATTCACAACTTTTCTGTCAAAACATAAATGTTACTTCATATTTCGCTTATGTTTTCCTAATATTAACTACTTACCCTTACAGAAACAACACCAACAGTGAAGAATACATATAAACGAAAAACAAAAACAAATCAAAAGGTAATAAATAAAATAGTATTCCATTTAGATCTGATTAACTTTATTCATAAGTGAATGCCAACAATTAGATGAGATTTTACTTAAAAATACAACAGGAAATGAAGATACTGAAGATAATTTTGTTTACTTCTGAACACAAACAAAACTAAATTATATATGTTATATTCACATATGAATAAAATATAATTTGTTGTTATATATACATTATTCAAATATGAATACAACAAAAATGACTTATATATGTTCTATTCACGTACGAATATAACATACATATGAACAAAAAATATGAATATATATGTTTTATTCAAATATTCATTTGTGAATATGTATGTTATATTCACATATGAATAGAACATAATTTGTTGGCATATATACATTATTCAAATGTGAATACAACAAAAATGACTTATATATGTTCTATTCACATATGAATATAACATAGATATTTATATGTGAATAAAAAATATGAATATATATGTTTTATTCAAATATTCATTTGTGAATATGTATCTTATATTCACATATCAATAGAACATAATTTGTTGTCATATATACATTATTCAAATATGAATACAACAAAAATGACTTATATATGTTCTATTCACATATGAATATAACATACATATTCATATGTGAATAAAAAATATGAATATATATGTTTTATTCAAATATTCATTTGTGAATATCAAACTCATTTATCTTCTACTCACTATTGAATGAAGGTAAGAAGACTAACATTTCCGATAAAGATTCACCAACAATGAGAGAAACACGATCAATGCAGAAAAATCAAAAAGGTATAAAATACATATCATATCTTTTATATCCCTGCTATAATTTATAAATAACTTGTATATCCCACCTATAATTTTCTTCTATTAACATATAAATAATTCAATCTGGATATGTTTTATATTAAAAAAAACTATTGAATTCCTGTATTCATATATGAATAAATATATGACTTGGCTTTGTTTGTATTCAAAAGCTAATCATATGTGAATGGAAACAAGTATTTGTACCTTTATGTTATTTTGTTTTGGAACATTTTTCTTTTGAAATTGGTGATTGATCTTTAGTATCTTCACATATAAAGATAACACACACACACATTATATATATATATATATAATATATATATATTTCACATGTGAATATATAAATATGGATACATCTGTTATATTCATTTATGAATAACTTATATATCCAAACTATAATTTTCTTCTATTAACATATAAATACTTCAATCACAATCTGGATATGTTTTATAATAAAAAAAACTATTGAATTCATGTATTCATATAATAATAAATGTATATGGCTTAGCTTTGTTTGTATACAAAAACTAATCATATGTGAATGGAAACAATTATTCATACCTTTATGTTTTTTTGTTTTGGAACATTTTCTTTTGAAATTGGTGAGTGGATCTTCAGTATCTTCCCACACACACACACACACACACCATTATAATTATATATCTATATATATATATATAACTGTTATCTTCATTCATTCATTTATGAATATATAATATTTTCTTTGTAAAATGTATTTCAAAATTATTTATCTTCTACTCACTCATTCATGATGGTAAGAAGATTTGTATTTCTGATATAGACCCCACAACAATGATAGAAACCATGTTGAAGAGGAAAATGTGAAAGGTACAAAATTCCTATTCATATCTAATATATATTCATATATGAATAAAATTCCATATCTTAGTTATATTTTTGTAATAAATAAATATTAATAAATCAACAAAACAATATCATATTCATCTATCAATAACTTATTCAAAATTATATAGTTTTCATTTCCCAGATAAAAAAGAAACAAAAACACCAAAGAAAAGAAAGCATCAAAGCAGAAAAAGTCCATCAAAAAGGAAAACTCTTGAAAAACGACAACTACATAATTCAAACTCTGATTTTGAAAGTAGTCGTCCATCAAAGAAGGCAAAAAAAAGAGTCACCAATCAAGAAAGAGAAAAAACCAGTGGTAAAGGAATTTTACTCGATGAAAAACAGCTGTTCACCAGAGTCATTACTATCTATAATCCTTGGGTTGAGCAAAAAGCAAAAAGAATGTGTAAGATCTATGGGTTTTGGAAGTTTGCTAAAAATGAAAATCACAGATATACCACTGAAGCTGGGATTTTGGGATTTTATATTCTTCAAAAATTTGATTCTGAGAGATGCTGATAGATATTGAAGGAAAGGAACTGAAAGTAACAACACAGTCTGTTCATGACATGTTGGGCATTCCAAAAGGTGGAACCATACTTACACAACTGGATCAATGGCCTAAAGATGATACTAGTTATGATGAATGGAAGCAACAGTTTCAAGAAGGATCAATCATCCGATTGAATGTGATCAAAAAAGTTATTGTTAGTACCACAAAAGCTGATTTCAATTTCAAATTGGAACTTCTTATTTTCTTTTGTCAACACGTTTTTGAGTCAACATCAATGGGAAGATGCACACATGTTCCTTTGAGTTATATTTCAAGAAAAACATATATCAGCAACATAGACTGGTGCAGCTTGTTTTGGACTGTTGTCAGAACAAAGAACTCATACGTACCATACTCAGATAACAACTACTTTGTTGGACCTTCAGCTTTCTTGGTGGTAAGTTATTATAATGTTTATACTCAATTTTAATAATATTAATTATTCATAACTGAATAGCAATATTCATTATATGAATAAGTAAAATATACTTGATCACATGTAATGTTACATACTTATTCATATATAAATAAGTAAAAAATAATATTACTTGTTCATATATGAATATATATATATATATATATATATCTATCTATATATTATAATATCTATATATATATATATAATTCATATATGAATAAGTAATGGTTTGAATTACTTATTCATTTATGATATCAATTAGTTATCATTTATGTGCAGTTGTTCTATGCTGATAAACATCCACTCAGAAGCTTTAACGGTAACACGTAGACGTCCAACACTTTGTTATTGGAGTTTTAGGAAGATTAGATATCGAGAGACATTTGAACAAGAAGAATGTAGATTTGGACCTGGAGAATTAAATGAAGAATTTGTTAATGAACAAGATGAAGGAGATACAGATCTCGAAGACAATGATTCTGATAAAGATGAAGATCATTCTGTTGAGGTAATTAGTTTGAACATGTTAATAATATATGATTACATTAAATTATTATATTAAATTCTAATCATACTTCTTTTTATTACATAGGCAATATGAATCAAAAATATCTAAAATGCTTAATAGTTTTTGAGAGGATGAAGGAAAATCTGAATTCAAAACTCAATGATGCGATAACAAAGTTCTCTGAAAAGGAAAGTTTTAGGATTTTCAAAGAAAAGATGACAAATATAATTGTTGAAGAAAAAACTTAAAGCACAACACTTTTTGAATTTCCAAGTAATGAAACTGAAGTTGAAGGAATCAAATGGACACCGATAATGGGTCAAAAAACAAATGATCAAAAAGAAAATGAAGATAAATAGGGAAATGGTGAAGAACACAATGATAATGATGAAAGTCAACCGGAAGTAGATTATTTGTTTGATTCAAATGAAGCAGAGAATGAGGAGAATAAAGAATGATGGAGATAAGAATCAAAAAGAAGGTGAAACTGAAGTAAAAGAGAAAGATGGAAAGAACAATGAAAATGACAATGATGAAGAGAAAAAAGATGATGATGCTGAACAAACAAATAATCATCAAGAGACCATTCAACAAACTGAAAATGAAAATATGTTGGATAAAGTTGTTGACAACATTGTGGACAATGTCCCTGGAATTGGATTTTCAAGTTTAAATAGTCAAGAAGATGAAATCGGGAATGACCCTGAAATGAAAACTATTTTGGATAATATTGATATAGGTAAATTTTGACTTACTTTTATTTTAAAAAAATATATAAATAATATAATACACAATAATAATTTTGTTTATTAAATTTTGACCCAGGGTCACCAATAAATAGAAGTAAAACTAATACTCTGATCAGTCACGCGGATTCAAGGTATGTTACTCTATCAATTATTATTATTCACTAATTCATTAATTAATTATATTTAATATATAATATTAAATAGATCTTGCAGAAAAGGGAAAATCAGAAGGTATACATAAACAAGGAAAAAAAGTTTAAAAAACAAAGGGAGATGATACATGTAAATGAATGATTTAAAGTATATTACAATATTTATATTGATTTTTTTAATAACATTATTTATTCATAAGTGAATAATACACTATATAAATGAGTAAAAAATATAAAATATTCATATATGATTATATGTTTCACGCAAGGAAAACTCTGACATGGAATAAAGGAGGAGCCGAAGCTAAGAACCGAAAGATGGAGGTGCAGATAAAACAAACAGAATTTGAGAAAGGAATGCGAAGATAGAGGTAAATAGTTGATTCACTAATAAATAAATATAATAAGTTTTATTATTCACAAATGAATAACAAAATATACAAATAAATAAAAAAATAATAGTATTACTTATCATAATAATGATATGCATTACTTATTCCTACTGAATACATTACTTATTCACAAATGAATTACTTAATCAAAGTTTTTTATCTTTCAGGAAAGAAAAAGTCAGAAAATGAAAAAAAACAGGAGGAAAAAGCTGACAAAACAAAAGGAAATGAAGGAGGTAACAATTTGGAAAAACATTTAAAATATAAAAAATATTCATTATATTAACTTACAAACTATTTATATGATAAATCTCCCGGCATGCAGATACTCATCCAAGCTTTAGTCTAGGTCTCAGCGAGATTCAGATCAAACTTCAAGTAAAAAATCTAATGAATCTTCACCAAAAAAAACCACTTACAAAGAAACAAATCAAAGACGACATCAGAAGGTTGTTATCAGATTAGCAAACAAAAATGTTCTTAATCCAAAATCCAAAATCTGTAGCAATTCCTACTGAAGTAGGACCATCAAAGCATGATCTGGATGAACAAGAGAGAAGAAGCTTTGCCGATGCTTTCAAATCACCTTTCAAATGCAGAATAATAGACACAAAACCTAAACCTGACACATCAGGAGAGTATTTGAACCTACCTCTCTCTCTCTCTATTTATATATATATATATAATATAT